AAATAGAATCCATTGCTAATACGAGATTTGAAAAGGGAGGAAAAAAAGTTCGGCAAAAGGTGGGATCGAACCGGGGTCGATCGCATCAAAAACCCAAGGGCATGCGTTTATCCATCAGCGCCACTGGAGCTGATGTTTTACAACCACTTTTAACTAAATTTAAATATACACTCCGTATTTTTTATTTGTTATAATGCTTTCTGAATTGTTGTTGTGCTTTCTGAATTGTTATTTTGTTTTTTAGTCTTGCATTTGCGTTTGTAATTTGTTATTTTGTTTTCAGAATTGTGATTTGCTTTGCACTTCTCGGCCACCGTACTAGAGGCATCTGAACCACTGTCTCCTTACAGCAGATCTCTGTGAGCAATAGAGGAATTCCTGCTGCTGTTTTGACTCCTTTACAATTTTATAAGCTCTTCATGAGTTGGTCATCAGCTGGGAAAAATACCACTATATGTACAACACATACAATGAGCACATTTAGCTTTGCACACAGCATTGTTTTGGATGTTCAGTAAGTTCGCAAAAGCTGTCCAGTCAGGTTGTCCACATGCCGTTTGTTTGGTATCTCTAGGTTCAGTGTTAAAAATGACTAAGCGAACTAGGACTAAATGTATTAGAACCAAACTACAGGACTAAGCACACCCTTATTTTCATTTGATTGAGTGTTTTGGGAATAATAAGGACAATGAACTGGCTGATTGATTAATTGCTCTTAAATTTATTAATTTGACAAATGCTTTTAAAAGCAACGTAAAAATAAGGAATGATTGTGTAAGCAATTTGTCATATAAGAAGTCAGCAATGTTTAAAGAACTGCAAAACAAAGTAGGCCAGAAAGAGATAAAAGTGCAGGGTTCAGACTCAAGAACGAGTATACAAAGTCCAAATCGTTTTGTAAAACTGTCAAAGCATAAAAGAATGGGAAACTAAAGATCAGAGACCTAATGCAATAACATACAAACACATGAGCGGAAACAAGAATCCCTCCAAGCTTTCAAACAGCTGCCTGAGTGGCCATCTTGCACAAATATGTAAAACACACGGCAGAAATGTAGTGCTCCAGTCGTTGCATGTGAGAAACCCAAAGGACAGAGATCTGAAAGCCGTTTTCTTTTTCACAGCTGTGTCTCATATGTTCGTGCGGCCTCTCGCGGTGTTAGCTTTGCTATCGCTCAGTCCCACCTGACCGCCAGTGTTTTAAAAGCCTGCCGTGATGCTGGGTGCTCACCTCCAGGGTGTCCCGAAAATCTAGCCAGGACTTAAAAGGTGGAGGAACGTGCTTTGCCCTGCTTGACCCTCCCCAAATCTTCACTGCTTCATTTGAGGGTTAGTTTACCCTGAAAGAGTTTTACTGTATCCCTCACTGGGCCGCCCCGCTGTTTCCCATCCCGCTGCCTTCAAAAGGCCACCCCCTGCCTTGAACCAGACAACATGCGAAATAAATATTACTCTGACCCATGTCTCCAACTCTTGGTGCCAGAGTCAAACAGAGAGAGTAAAAGGGGAAAAAAAGAAGAGAAGCTTCAGAAGGTTGAAGAGTTCGTGTGGGAGAGTGTGAACACAAGCGTTCGTATCAGTTTTTCAGACTGGAATTAGCACATCTTTTGATTTCAGCGTCATGCTCCAACCTGCAGGAGCTAAAATGATTATGACTTAGGCAGACAGATTCAAGAGACAGTGGGATGGATTTAGAAAAAAAAAATCCTTTTTGAAAGAAATGAATACTTTATTCAGCGAGGATAAAATAAGTGACCGTAAAGACATTTATAATGTTACAAAAGATTTCATATAGGGTAAATGTTCTTTTAAACTTTCTATTCATCAAAAATCCTGAAAAAAAGTATCACAGTTTCGACCAAAATATTAATCAGCACAACTCTTTTCAGCATTGTCAATAATAAATGTTTCTTGAGCAACAAATAAGCATATTAGAATGTTTTCTGGAGGATCATGTGACACTGAAGACTGGAGTAATGAAATTCAGCTTTGCATCACAGGAAAAAATTACATGTTAACATATTCAAACAGAAAACAGTTATTTTAAATTGCAAAAATATTTCACAATATTACTACTTTTACTGTATTTTTGATCAAATAAATGCAGTGTTGGTGAGCTTGGTAAGACATCATCAAAAAAATCTTATCAACCCCAAACTTTTGAACGTCAGCAGTGTTGGGGGTAACTCATTACAAGTAATGCGAGTTACGTAATCAGATTACTTTTTTCAAGTAACTAGTAAAGTAACACATTACTTTTTTAATTTACAAGAAAATATCTGAGTTACTTTTTCAAAAAAGTAATGCCAGTTACTCTGTTTTCCCATTTATTGACTGACAGCTCTCCTGTCCCCATATTGGGAGAAATCGGAAGTGCAGAGGAGTTGTGTGCGCTGTGTGAACATGATGTTACTGTAGTTCTAGACTAAATGTGAATGTGCATTAATTCATCCCACTCACAAAAAAAACCAGATTTAGTATTAATCAAAATGAATTAAATCAGTGAAATGCAAACTCAGAATATGACGCAAACCTGCAATAATTAAATATGTTAATTTTTTTAGGGAGTAACGCAATATTGTAATGCATTACTTTTAAAAGTAACTTTCCCCAACACTGAACGTCAGTGTAAATTTGACTGCAATTTCTGCAAACTTAATATAAATTTTAATTTGATATTTTTTTATTTATTAATATATATCTTTTGTTGTGGCTCTGTGGCAGTGTTTCACACTGACTGTGAAAATGTGTCCTACTTTCTTCACTTGATTACTCAAATTTATATCACTCAACAGTTTGCAGTGTGGTTTGAGCTTGTTTAGACTGAGCAGAACTGTGACCTTTTTATCTTGCTTTTAAGACATGATGCAATGTCAGTCCTCTATAGTGTGTAAACAATCAGGAAAGCTTCATTAGTTTTGTTTCATGTGATCAGGGTGGCTAAGTTGTGACACTGTCACACAGGACACATGTTTTAACCTGCTCAATATACTTTTTATTATTTTATGTATATTTGAGTTTTAATAGGTTTTCATGTTGTCTTAGCCATTTTATTCCTCTTAACCATTTTAATGTGTGTATGTCTTTAAATGAGTTTGGGTCTGCCTGTCATGTGACTGATCACATGACAGGAAGTAGGAAATGGACAGCATAAAGGAGGCAGCATGTCAAACAAGCATGGTCGTTGCTCTCATTACGACCAAGTGGTGATCACCTGTAAACTGGAATAGTGGAGTTACCTTTGTGGACTTACCTTTCCATCACTTTGGATTAACACTACAGTGGACTCTTGTATATACACCGGTGGACACTTTTGGGGACATTCACTTTGGGACTAGCAACACACTGGATTTCTTAAGGACTGTTGTAATGGTATGAAACTGAAAGACTCTGTACTTTTAACAGCCTAAGTTATTCTAGTTTTGTGTTGGTTTAAGTCTCTTGTGAATATTGTAAATACATATTTGATTTTCACTTTTAACATTGTTGTCTGTCTCATCTTTTAAACACTCAAAGCTCTCACATAGTATAATCTGACCCCTTTTTAACAAACGTAACATCTTCCAATAAGGCCGATCGTTACAAAGTGACCCAGCAAAGTCAGGAAAATGCTTTGTAACAACAATCGCTTTAGTTTTCTCATCTAGTGTCATTCACATGTTTTTTTCCCCTTTATTTATATAGTGCTTTATACAATACTGATTGTGTCAAAGCAGCTTTACAGTGTCAAACAGGAAAATAGTTTGTCAATAATGCAAAAGGACAATAACAAAACAGTACATTTTTCAGTTAAAGTCAGTTCATTGTTGCTTCAGTGATGTCATCATCCAGTTCAGCTCTCTTCCAATATGTCTAGTGTTTGTGCAACTAAGCCGACAGTATTGCTAGAAATTAAGCATCCCCAACTAAGCAAGCCAAATGCGACAGTGGCAAGGAACCAAAACTCCATCGGTGACAGAAATAGAGAAAAAAACCTTGGGAGAAACCAGGCTCAGTTGGGGGGCCAGTTCTCCTTTGGCCAGATGAAACCATCATGGTGTGGTTTAATTTCAGGCTGCAAAACATGTGCAGAGGACTTGTCTGGTTCCTGTGGTCTTGTCCCGATGGTCTTGATGAGGTCTTTGCAGGGGATCTGTCTCTGGGGCTCATTTGTTGACATGGTCTCTGCTGACATTCAGGGCTGTAGAGGTTGTCTCTAGGTGCTGATCCACCATCTGGACTGAGACTCATTTAAAGTAATGTAATTATCTGTTTTTTTTACCAACTGAGCAGTTGATGGGATCTTGCAGTCATTGTCTGCACCAAGAAGTGAAAAGCTTCTACTTCAAGGTGAACAATTTCCTTGTGGCGGGAGCTCTGTACTAGAGTATGGTCTCAACAATCTCAGTTCTCAGGGGCCACGCCCACAACTTCCATAACTCCGGGCGGGGGTGAAGAATGGTGCCCCCCGCCTGAGAGAGGAGGTCCCTCCTGATCGGAATCTCCAGCGGAGAGCCGTTGAGGAGAGACACAAGATCTGAGAAGCATACTAACCATGCTACTAGCAGCAGATGGACCCCATCCAGGCGTACTCTCTCCAGAACTCCCGGGAGCAGAGCGATCGGGGAAAAAGCGTACAGACGAAGCCTCAGCCACGTATGTACCATGGCATCCAGCCCAAGTGGGGCTGGATGTGTGAGGGAGAACCAGAGTGGACAGTGTGTCATTTCCTGCGACACGAATAGATCCACTTCCGCCTGGCTGAACTCCCTCCAAAGAAGGTCCACCACCTCTGGGTGGAGCCTCCATTACCCGGGCCTCAGGCCCTGTCTCGACAGGATGTCTGCTCCCTTTTTGAGATGCCCAGGGATGTAGACTGCTCGTAGTGAGAGGAACTTTCCCTGAGTCCACAGGAGGATCTGGTGAGCCAGCCTGTAAAGGGGGCATGAGCGCAGACCCCCCTGCCGGCTGATGTAGGAGACCACCGATGTGTTGTCTGTGCGGACAAGCACATGATGTCTGGAAGGGAGTGTTTTAGAGCTCGAAACACGGCCAACATTTCCAGGCAGTTGATGTGCCACGTGATATGATGGCCTTCCCACAAACCTCGGGCGGAGCGGCCACTCATGACCACTCCCCAGCCCGTGAGGGAGGTGTCCGTCATTAGTTTTACAAGACGACAAGGAGCCCCCAGCGATGGGCCTTGAGACAGGAACCAAGGTTTCTTCCACATGTCTAAAGCATGTAAGCATCGCCGCGTGACCTTGATCGTGCGAAGCGGGTTCCCCCTCTGGGAAAACCCCTTGGTTCTGAGCCACCACTGCAAGGGTCTCATGTACAGCAGGCCATGACGCAGCTGCCATCAGACCCAGCAGTCAAGGCAGGCAGCCCCCTCGAGAGCTGCCCGTGCATGCTCCGCTCCCAACCAGACGACGCACAAATTGAGTGTATCCCCACCCGAGAGATAGTGTGGGCAGGGAGGAACACATGACTTGAAACGCTGTCGGCTCGCCACAGATTTGGATTTACACTTAGGCATTTTGACTCGCTTTCTAACAGAGTAATTCATGACTGACTGATAGTGCTTTGCATACACAGACACACATACACAGACGCGCTCGCTGAAGAGCAGAAGCTAACATGTGCGCTTGCCGAATGCGCCTTTATGCTTCCTGGTTGCTCACGTCACCCCGCTCGTGAAGTCTCGCTTCTCTATTGGACTGATTTCACACATGCTTCAATACGGTGTCTCGCCGGGGACGTTCCCAAAGCGTTCGATGCAGCTCGAGTTCTTAAGGGGAACTGTACAGGGTCAGAACGAGTAAATAATGACCAAATTAAAATTTTAGCGTAAAGCCCAAAATGAAAACTCTCATCTTTTACTCAACTGCTGCCCAAGTTTTACATGACTTTCTTTCTTCAGATGAACACAAATGAAGATTTTTAGAAAAAAAAATTAATCTGAGTATATACAATGCAAGTGGATAGTAACCCAAAAGTTGACACTTTGTAAAATATAAATGGTTGCTTCTGGCCAACTTTCATACACACGTTCATTAGAGTGTTGTGAAGTAACATGGAAACACATGGGAATGTCACTTCTCATGCAAGCTTCATGGACGTGCGTATGAAGTGAATTAAAATATTAATATTTCACTCCAGAAGACACTGATTCATTCTTTGGGTTTACCGTCACATTCCCTTTGTTTAGTTTACGACTTTTGGGTTAATATCCACATGCACTATACTCACAGAGATGGTTTATTTTTCTACAAATCTTTCTTTGTGTTCATCTGAAGAAAGAAAGTCATATACAGGGGTTGTACAAAATAATGTGAACACCTGGCAAATAGACAATATTTCTTTGTTAAGGTTTTTTACCAACATTTGCCTTTAATAAAGCTTCCAACCTTCTTAGAATAGATTCATACAACTGAACAGTCTCCAGTTGAATATTGTCCATCAAAACATCTGCCTGTTGTTTTATAGATGTTGAAGGAAGGGAATCTGCTTCTCACTCTTCTCTCCAAAACGACCTACAGTGGTTTATGATCATGACACCATCTTTTTCACAGTTTTAGCAGTTGCAGCTCTTTCATTTGTGGCTTTGTGAAGTTCTCTATGGTTGGTTTTTGTAGGTCGTTAAGGTGAATATTGAGGTTTGCTGTCACACTGCTGCAGTAGTTCTGTGTTATTTGGACACAATCCTTCTAAGAGCTCAACGGCTCCTATCATTCACTTTTGGTTTTACTGCCACTTCATTAAGTCTTGCCATGCTTTGTGTCCCATAATCATAAAGATACCAAAAAAATGGTTTGTTGAGGTTACAGACACTGCTTCCTAACAGGCTTCCATGATTTGCTCTTTTTGGAAGTCTGACAAATCACCCATTTCACTCATGGCTTGTGCTAAACACTGCTGAACACAACGTATACTACACTGATTTACAAACTAGAGAATGCAGACAACGAAGGTTAAGTAAAAGATAATCGCAATGTTTGTTTGTTCACTGAAGCTTACACAAATTATACTAACCACTAGAATAACAGGTGCTCACATAATTTTGTCCAACCCCTGATGTTGCCCTTTTAAGCATACGCATAAACACCCATGCATTGTTTTTATTTTTTCCTAATCTCCTTTGCGTAAATGCCTGGCTTTTGTGTACATTCCCTGGTAATAAAAGTTTGTTTTCAAGAGGGTGAGTGAGGCTGAGAGAGAGATTGTGCTTGAAAGAGAGAGTCATTGGGAGATCTCAGGGTGCTGTTCTGCTTAACTTCCCCCAGTCAAAAGCTCCTCAGTGTGGATATCCAGGCTGGCAAATCAGCCTGTGCCCGCTGTTTACTGTACCGGTCACAAGGGCCACCGGAGCTGGAACAAAGGGGGGTCTGTTCCTATTGTCCTTCCCCAGAATGACAGCTCTCTGTTGGGCCAAGAGACGGACCGGGGGGCCCTGGCTCCCACATACAGGGATGGAGGACAGTTTTAACTGAAACCATGTCTTTCTCTTTTAAGCCTTCAATCAGACTCAATATAAACACCTGCAGCCATTCACTGATTCTATCTGATGGAACTGGAAAGCGCTGTTTACATGGTTCAGGCTGCTACTAATAGGCATTTAACACTGATCGAGGCATAAATAGATATTCAGTGCAATGCGGATGGATTAACCACATTTATTTTCACTGCAAATCAAAGGACTGAAAGTATTCCTAAATGAGAAATGAACACAACAAGGGGCGTAAAGCAAAGAGCGACTTCCTCTCCATCCATCTTCCCAAAACCTAAATCAAAGCAGCTGCTGTTCACATCTGGGACTGCCCTGTTCCCCTGGTGCTGAAGCCACTTTAATGAGTGTACCTGACACCTGTGCTCAAGGCAAAGCTGTTGCAATGTCTCTGCAACTGGGTCCTTTTACACATGACTCTTAACTGTACAGAGCGTCTGGAGGTTAATGTGTCGGGGTGACAGAATAAACAGTTCAGGTGAGCTTCAGAAGCGTTGCATTAAACTGAGTGTTTAAGAGGTGCTGAGCTGTAAGGGGCAGGTGGGATTGGCCTCACACAACAGCTGTCCGCCATCTGAGTCCCTACATCTGGCTGTTTCGGTCGTTATGAGCATTTATATAAATCACAATGGCGTTCTCTGTACCTTCATTGTTTCTTCGCAATGAGATTAAATGGAGACTTTTGCTTAACCTTCCGCGTCTTAAATTTCCCCCCGAGAAAAAGGCTATTGGTGAAATTTACATTTACATTATGAGTTAATTGGTTGAAGATTTGAACCCATTTAAAACCAACCTATGTAATATTTCTTAATTTCATGTTTGTTTTTATTAAGCACAACAAGCTTAAAGCTTAAAATTTTCAAGCAGGCTTTAGCTTCTTTTCATTGAAGGTATTTGGCAACACTGGAATTGCACTCAAAAGTAGAGGCAGATAAGTGAGAACTTGCAGGGGCAGAGTTTAAACAGACTAAAAGATTGGAGATGTCCAGTACACGTCACCAGAGAAAATTAAATCATTTTCACTGGAAAAGTCCAGCCATGATATTATGACAAGGCGAGTTTTCAATCCATGCCAGCTTTAAAGTCACAAAGCAAATTTTGCAATATTTGAAGCAAAAGTTAAACTTAACAGTTAAAAGAATCAATTTTGCCGTAGCGTCATCAATGAACCATTTAAATGAAAATCTCCACCAGTCCAGTTTGTTTTACAATATGAATAAGGTGTTCCCATCCGGATCAAGCTTTAAAGGCATGTGTGTACATGCAGCATGTGTAAGGAGTAGGCTATGCAAATTATTCAGTAGCCTTCACCGTAGTCAACTTTTTAAAGGTATTTCTGTTGAGGTTGATCTTTAAAACGTTTTATATTTACACATTTGGCAGATGTTTTAATCTAAAGCGATTTACACTGCATTCAAAACGGGTTTATCAGCTTGGGAATCGAACCCATAACCTTTACGTAGCGCCATGCTCGGTTTAAACTAGTTTTAAAAGCTTTTGCGATATATTGAGCTGTGCAAATCAACAAGGAAGTGATTAATGATAACTGTATTTCTATAACGTTCTTGGTCGAAGCAGTGAACAATACCATTTTATTTTGATTTTATCGGCTTATTACTTCTATTCAGACGGTTGTAGGCTACTTGACACGTCTGAAACAGACAAGCCTCCCATAATTTACAGCCAGCGTGTAACTAATGTCCTCTCCTTGCTTTTGAGATGTTCTGATTGTAATCTCTACCCTCAGGTAAGATCTCCAGCACTACAGCTAAAAACAGCAGTATAATTCACTCTCCTTGACATGTTGCAAGATCTTTACACAGCGAGACGCGCGTCGGGGCAATGTTGTCGCCGCAGGTGCATTTCTGAAAACGGGCATCCATGAAGCGCGTAAGCAGCCTCCACCCATCGTTTCAGTTCAGTCAGTGACAAGCATCTGCGGAGATAACCCGACGGCCTCTTATACCTCCTACTCTCCGCTTTGTTAGCGGAGTTTATGCAGCTCCGCTTCGCTCCTCCTTCCTCCTCAAGTTTGCCATCTGTTCTCGGAATCTCAGTGCGTCTACAGGTTGAGCGCTCTAGAAACGCAAAGGATTGGGTTAAAACAAACGCAACAGGTTATAAATGCGTTAATGAATCCGAGAGCGTTCATAGAAATAAAGGGAGGGCGAAATGTGGGAACAAAATAACTAATTATACCAGCGATAACGTTTCAGTCATCACCTATTTGGATTGGCTCATTTATATTTGTGTGAAACTCTGCGCGAAAGTTCATCATGGTTTCGTTGCTGGATTTATGCGC